CTCAAGCACTGGGTACTTGTTTATGTCTGAATTCCTTCGATTTATATTCTGTTCAGGCCAGCCATGCATTGATCATCTGAAAGGCTCTCATTGCCTAAAGTACTTCCCAATTTAAATTTGTTCATAATCCACCCCATCCCTCACTTTCTTCACAGTAATCAGTTCCTTTAGCTCAGTACATAGTTCATTTCCTCCTCCCCACACCTAAATATAAGTTTCACAAAGACAAAGATGTGTGTCATGTGTTGCTTTATTCCTGGTGCTTAAAACAGTTTCACACACTTGGTCAGTGCTCAGTAACCATCTCTTGAATAAACAAATAAAAATGTTATCTCAGATTTCACATTCCCCAGTGAGAGTTGAGATTATCTTTATTTTATACTTGAAACTGAGGCTGGGAGAAATCATGTAATTTATTCAAGATTGCCCAGCTAGTAAGGGACAGCGGCAGGATTCAAGCCCAGGGCTTCCAGTACATCTGTCTTCCGTGGCATCCATCTGCTTCTCCTGCCGTTCGCAGTGTTTCTGCATGTGATCCTCATCAGTTCTGTGTGTCTTGATCGGGACCTATTGTTCTGTGACACAGATTGAGTGCTACCTCTGCAGGGGAGATGACCTCTGTGTTTCTGGCCCACCTCTCTGCAAGGTTGGGAGCAGGCCACCATCACCAAGTGAATACCCCAAGTATCAGACTTTTGTGAAGGTGTGTATAGATAAATATTCAGTGTTGGTTGTTGTTGTTTTTTTCAGAAAATTTTTTATGAGCCCTTTAAAACCTGTTTCCTCTCGTCCTTTTTTTTTGTTTGTTTGTTTTTTTGGCAAGCCAGTGAACCCTGGCTCATGTTAAGGTTGTATAAACTCCTCCACTAAATGAGTGGAAGTGGTTGACTCAATTCTGTGATTTGCTTTTGTGTGATCTGTTTCTGGTAAGCAGTGATTTTTTTCTTTTAATTCTAGTCTGTTGTGTGCATATTTACATAACAGTCTTCTGTTGTTTTATAAAAGTACAAAAGGCCAGAGAAGAGACTGGAAAGCCATAAGGAATAAAACCTGTGAAATGTCAAGTACACATCAGCAGCTGGGGGACAGGGTTGGACCCAGAAACATTTCAGACACTGCTGTCATTGAGGATGAATGGGAGTGACGTCATCTCTCCTGATGCAGTGGGGGGAATGAGATATTCCATAGAAGAAAAGTTGTAAATCCTTGCAATTTATATTCAGCATCAATATGTTTGTTTGTTTATTTATTTTAGCATTTTTAAAAAATTACCTTCTTTGAATTAAAAAAAAATCTGGGGCAGAATATTCTGACCATTTTCATTTTGATAGGTGCATGTGTGTGTTAACAATTTTGGAAAATAGTCGAGGACACTAAGAAAACAGGATTCATCCTTCCAGCAGTAACAATAGGAACATTTTATGTGTCCCTCAGTAAGCGTCTGTTTAAGTGTGTACGTTTTTTGTTTGCTTGCTTCTGGGGTGAAATGGCCTCAAACTAGTCAAGTTTCTTGAGTCCTTTTGGCTTTTGAAATAATGTTTCTGGCATCTTTCTTGCTATGAGTTGTCAGCGGTTGTTTTTGGATGCTGCTGGGCCTTGACTCTAATAGTAGGCTTCTCTTCCACTCTTTTTACTCCTCTTCTGCCCTGCACCCTGACTTTAATTAGCTATTTCTACCTACTATGAGCTGATTAACAAGTAACTACGTTTATAAACATTAAATTAATTAATAGAGGGATTAATTAGATTTTAAAAAGATTTTTTTCAATAAAGTACTGTGTAGTGTTTTAAAACAGTAACAAAATTGATTCTATGTATCGTACTTGAAAGTCAGTCACATTTACACATTCACTTCTTATGCTGGGTTTTCTAGTGCTAAATTCTTATTTATTTCCTTGTTCCTGGCAATTGCCTGGATAATTGAGATCACATCTTATCGCTTTTCATTTTTTCTTTATACATATAAAAGTTAAAATTTTTATACCAATTCTTTTCTTTTTAAATCAAATGCTACTTAGGCATACATTTATTTACTTAAAGTGGTTTATATTTAAATTTTTATTAATAATTTATATGGAATGATATAATTTTAAAATTATATTAACTTTATGCCATATAATCTTACTTATTTGAATAACATGGAGAAAAATCCAATCTGAATTAGCAAAAAGCAAAATATAGAGTCATTTGAAGAGTAAAGAATAGGTAGATATTTTATTCCCCTTGGGTCTCTGAGATAAGCAATGCTAAAATGTTGGTGTTTTTACTACCACATTTTTTTTCCTCATCAGTATTATTACATTAAGTAATATGTGGTAGCCAAGACAGCATAGTCTGGTTTTGGAGCTTGTGTGAATGAATAAGATAAGAATGATTTATAATTAGCATATAATCATATATGCTATAGATAGATAAATATATAAGTTATATGTAGATATGCACTCTGTATATAGGTATAGAGTCTATTATATAGAATTACCTTCTCGATGACTCATGAAATGCTCAACTAAATTCTATTCTTTTAGTTGGTTGAATACTCCCCCTTTTTCATAGTTAATCATAATTCACCCTATGGCCACATCATCCCAAATTATAAAAATATAAAGTTATTGCTGACAATCTTTGCTTCTTTCCCCTTCCCTATCTACCTTTTCTATTCTTTATTAATCAAACCCTTGTTTATGAGTCGGACTTACTTTGCTGTGGGGCTGGGGAGCTGTGAAACAGAATGGGTCTCCTCCATCAAGCCCATGACATCAGGGTCATACTTCTAAATATGGCAACTCACCCCAAACATACATTTCTTTCGCATCAGTCCTCAAAATAAAGGAAAGGTGGCAGAAGTACCAGAAGAAAAATTGGAAAATCTTCTAGAACATATCGCATCCCCAATTGAAGAAATATAATTAAGAAACTGGTCAAAGGATCTTGCCATTTTGCCCCAAAAAAACAAAATTGAGATGCCCAGTGACGGCTATTTTGCAGTGACATAGGTTGCCTTCTGATTCACATGCGCCCCCAGGCATGCTCTCTGTCTTGGGGGATCTCCTGTCCATAGGATTCCTATCCCTAAAGGCCATCATACCATAATTTCATCCCCATCCCACAACCTCACAGTAGCTTTCAAGACACATTTAGGACATGTTCTCCAAGGAAATAACCTCCGCATGAGGAGTCCTGGCTCTGTGTCTTCATAAGATGTTCTTGGGTCAGTGTCAGAGTTCTTCTGCTTGTTGTCTGTGAAGGCCACTCAGACATCTTAGGCTAGTTCCCAGTAAGATGATGTGCTTGGGAAATACACATTTACTGCCCAAGACACTCAGTGTCCATTCTCTTTCAGCAGAGCAAAGCTGTACATTATTGATTAAGCGGGCATCCTAACCCAGCTATTTAAGTGTTCTCTGACTTCTCTTGTCCACAGGGTAACTGGTCCAGATTCTCCCTACTTGGTTTCTACATTGCCTTCTTTTTTAAATAATTTAATTTTTATTGATTCTGAGAAAGAGAGAAAAAAACATTAATTTGTTGTTCCACTTATTTATGCATTCATTGATTGATTCTTGTCTATGCCCTGACCAGGGCCTTACCCACAATCTTGGCGTATTGGGATGATGCTCTAACCAACTGAGCTACCCGGTCAGGGTTTCTACACCACGTTCTTACATAGCCCCTTCATACCTCCACAAGGGGAATGCAAAAAGGAACATGGGGTTTCATCTCATGGTTTCTTACAGCTATCATACAAATGTAGAAGCTCTGCCTTATTAAATATTCTTGTTCAGAACATTGCAAATTACTTTACAAACATGACTGGTTCATCCCTTTTTTGTCATCTATGGCCTTACACAAAAGCCCAGCAGAGTGAAGTGGTTTGTTTCTGTGAAATAAAGGGTGTGCACACATGACAACCTTACACGTTAGTATAAAACAAAGCCTGTCTTTCTACACAATGTAAGAAACAGCCAATTGAAAGTTTTTAACTTCCTGGGCCTTTGTGGGGGAAACTAAACAATTCATTGGTAACATAGTTTTCCCAAGATGTTGCTGCTTCCTTTCACTGACTGGCGGATTCCTTTTGTACCAGACTGTGCCAACCCCTGCTGAACTGGGAAATCCAGTACCATTTTCATGGACATTATTGAACCTGAACATTGTTTAACAAGTACACCCTCCCTTCAGTGTTGGAAAGTATACACTGTCATTTTACTCCTAGTGAATTAGATCCTGCTAATTCTTCCTTACAATTAGAAAATCTACGGTCAGTTATCTGTTTTAACTCAGGTTAGTTGTTGATGTTACTATATTTAAACACCTGTATTTTTCTCCTCAGAAACTACCAATAGTTTTATTGTGATTGGTAGATCTGGCTGCAAAAGACGTCCCCCATCGTGTTTCTGTCACACCCTGGGCGGTGTTCTTTGCCATGCACAGAACCCACACCAATCTCTTGGGTTCTGGATTTCAAACCACATTTGACCTTTGAGATCTAAGTTAATGTATTATTGGCAAAAGAAAATGAAATGTATTGTTAAAGAGAATAGGATTAGAGAGGCTTATAATAAAGACTTGTAACACTTCTTAGACCTCAGATGTCTTATAGAACAAAATGTTTATGAGCTAAGTGTAAATGAATCAGAAACATATGGATGAAATTTCCCTTAAAATGCAAAAGGACTGAAAATTAGCAGAAAAGTGGTCTGACAAAAGGTGTGCTTTGAATTTCATTGAACCCAGATTTTTTGAAATGCATTTTAAGAAGCTTGACAAACCCAAACTGTGACTAGATTTCCCCTTTGCTGGTCTCTTTTATTCCTCAATATCTCAATTGAGTGGTCAGTGGTTAAAAATGGAAGACAAAAGTCTTAAGGTTTATTTTTTAAAAGTGCTTTGTGTCATGCTGTTCTGTAACCAGAATGGGGAATTAGAATGTGGCTTCGAAGAGTGCCTCTGCCCCTGTGATTTTAGGTCTCTCATGCTTCCCTTTATAACTGTTTTCTCAGGTTCGCACCTTCTGCTCCATCCCCTCACCACATCAGTCCCCGGCGAGTTCCAGCTCCTTCTTCCATTATGCAGAGAACACAGCCTCCCCATACCCAGCAGTCCTCAGGATCACACCTGAAGTCTTACCAGCCGGAAACAAACCCTTCTTTTCAACCAAATGGAATCCACGTCCATGGTAAGTGAGGAACAGTCAGTCCCTTGAGTTTTGAAAAGTGATGTTGCTTTTAACCAGGTGTCTTAGTTACCAGTTGTGGGTTTTAAATGTTCTGTCCTACACCAGGCGTTGGCTTTTAGGAATGCCCTCTAAAATTTCACACTTAATCAGCTTGAAATCTTATAGGATTTTCTTGGCTTTGGCCCTAAGAAGGTATGACTTATGATGCCCCAGAGTGGTCAGCCCAAGGTGACGGTCCATTTATGGACCCAACACTTTAACACCTCCTGGATAGACCTTAACAATAACATCTTTTTTCTGAACAATAAACAGTCATGTAAAATGGAGTCCTTTTGCCCATGAACAAGTCTTTGCCCCTATTCCCATATGCCTAGATCCTCTCCATCCTGCAGGACCCAGGTGAAATGACACCTCCTCTCTGAAGCCTTCCCTGATCTCCTAGCTGAACTTCATGTCTCCTGGTTCTAAACCCTGTTACATATCACCTGTATCTCGAACAGTACTTAGGCTCTCTCTCCCTTGTGATTTACTTCTCTGTGAGTAAAAGATGTCTTCTCTATTACTGTGGAAACTTCCTTCTGAGGTCAGAATTTTCTGGCCCATTGTTATTTCTCTTAGAGAACTTAGTACATGTCATAAACACACACAGATACTTGATAGGTGGATGAAGGAAGAAGAGGAGGGAAGGAAGGCAAGAGAAATCACCATGGTTTTCAAAATGGGCAGGTCTTATGTTTAACTCAAAACATACATGAGAACTACGTCTCCCTGAATTTCTTTTCTCTGTTTAAACCCATTTTGCTGACTCAAACAGATATCTTAAGTGAATATCCATAGAAATGTGAATTGCTAAATCATATAAACTCACACTCTACATAGCTTTTTACTTCCTGTGGACATTTGGACCTTCTTATATAAGCAGAAGAGATACTGTCCATTTAGATTGAGTGTTTTAGCTTCTGAAAAATAAGGTCTTCTTCATCTATCTCTTGCTGATTCCTGAATTTGCTTCATATGAGTTATTATTTGAAATTAATGGGTGGTGTCCCTAAGCAAACCTAAAACAATATTCAAATTGAGTGTGATTAAGTGTGAGTGAATTCCCAAGATAGCAGAATAAAGCAGCACTAAGGAGCTAGGGTTGGGCAAGAACTTCTATGTAAGGGAAGGGACAGCTGAAGAGGAGTCAGTGTGGAGACAGTGGCAGGCTGTATGGAGGGAATGACCTTGAAAAGCCCAGGGTCACTGCCTCTGGCTCAGCACTCCATCCATTTCTTCTCCCCTCTCTCCGAGTATAGTCACACAAATCCACTGTTCACCAACAAAACTGGGGCTTCCATCATTCTTTGGGCCTGTGGTAATTTTTTCCTTCTGTTGGTAAAGTTCTTCTGAAGCTTTAGTTATGTATTTATTCAACAAGAAATATTTCTTTTTAAAAAAAAATACATTTTTTTATTGATTTCAGAGAGGAAGGGAGAGGGAGAGAGACATAGAAACATTAATGATGAGAGAGAATCATTGATCAGCTGCCTCCTGCACACCCCCTACTGGAGATTGAGCCCTGACTGGGAATTCAGTCGTGACCTCCTGATTCATAGGTTGATACTCAACCACTGGGCCACACCAGCCAGGCGAGAAATATTCCTTGAGTGCCTACTAGGTGCAAAGCAATGTGTGTGAGAAGTACGGAGCACTCTCCTTCCTTTTTGGAGTGGCCTCCCAGCCCAGATGAGGAGCTTGTCTAATAGGGGAGATCCAGGTCCCCTGTGATGTGAAGCCAACCTCACCTGCAGGCTGGAGGTGGATAGCATGAGTATGGGCTTTGTGGGATACAGAATAGGTCATTTTTCCTAAGACAATTTTTACCTTCACTTTAACATCAATGAAATCTGAACAGATTTCAGTCATATGGCATAATATAGTAGGCAATGATTTTTCTTTCTTGTGCTATGTAGAATTATGGAGCCTTTCACAGTCAGTGGTGTCAGGGTTCCAGTGACATGCAGCAAAACACACTTTGATTACAACTGTGAAGCACATTTTAAAAATTCAAAATTTAACCTATGTGTAGAAGAAAAATTGGAAGGAAATTCTCCAAAACATTAACAGTTCTTTTTATCACAATGGTAGGATAATAGGTGATTTTTTCCCTCTCTGTTTTTTTGCTGTTGTTGTATTTTTTTGTATTATTATTATTATTATTATTATTGCTTTCTACAGAAATTTTAAAAGGGATTTGGGGATTAAACCAATTTGAATGCAAATACCAGTCTACTCAACTGTGTGACTCTGGACAAATTATTGAGCCTCAGTTTACATTCATTAGATGAGAAGAGCCTTATCTACCTTCTCTTATCAGTTGTTATGAGGATTACACAAGAAAAGAAATTGAATCTTCTTCCTTTAATCTCTTATTTTCTTTATTAGACTCTTTGAGCATAGGGATAATTTTGTAGCCGTGGGGCAAGCATAATGCTTGGTGCAAAGTAGGCATTTAGTAAATATTTACCGAATAAGTGAATAGCACAAATGAATAATGAAACAAGGGGACATAGAGAATGGATCTAACTTATTATTTTGCCCTGCAGCTTGGCAAAAGGCGCTTCCCCCACATTTCTCTATTTAGTTGTCAACTTGAATGTTTTTTAACTTTAACTTTTTCATTGTTAAATTCCCATGGCCAATGAGAAACTGCTCACAGAAGCCCTAAAAAGAAACACATATGACAAGCCTTTCTAGAAAAGATCAGAATATAGTTATGCAAATTGGGAAATCTTGACTTCCTCTCAGAAAACCAGCAAGTGGCTGAGTTTGCAAAGGGAGTATCCATTATCTCCTGGACAATACTAGGAATTTAAGGAATAAGGATCCAGATGCACATGTACTTCCTCCTTAAAGTATTTTTCTGGAAATGTTCTTCTGGATCTTTCTAGGCACAGGTATTTCTTATGCTAGGAATAAAAGGAGAAGAGAGACTTCTAAATGAGTTGCCTTTGTTGGCCATGCCTTTCAGCTTTGGTTGGACTAGTGGGCTGGCTAGCATTATACAGCATCTTAGTAATAAGGAACTTCAGCCCCTAATATAACTAGATTTTTAAAGCCCCGAGCAGTGCCAGGGTTGGTAACATGATAGCTATAGTGAGTTTTTATTGTCTCTTTTATGAAGTTTATGGCTTTAATGAGCATCATCACCCCCATCCTCTCTGTACTCAGAGAAAAATGCAGTAGGTAGAGGTCAGAGAAAAATGTCATCACTGTATTTTTAGAGATGGGAACTGATACATAAAAGTATGAAATGTCTAGGCACTGCTGCCTCGGCAAAACACAGGCATCTTTAATAAGAGGTCCACAGTTTCAAGCCATGTTCTTAATCTATATGTTTCTAAGTCAAAAGAAAAAAATACATATATATTTATATCTTTCCACGGGGAAATATCCCCGTGTGTAGATGCTGTTGCATTACATAGATCCATGAAAGGTGAGAATTCAGAGGGCCTTTGTTCTTACAGATAAATAAGAGAATGAGGTCCATTGCGTTTTCTTCATGCCAGACTAATTTATACAGAGCTTAGATGTTGTGTGTTCAATGTATATTTTTATTGAGACATGTTTTGTAAAAGGCATAATTTGAAAATATTAATAGCACCACTTTTTCAAGTTCCCTCATCTAGTGTGTGACCCAGGACCAGGGCACCGTTTTGTTGGTTGTGCATCCACTTTATTCATACATATTGCTTTCATTAGCAAGGTGGATAAGGTGTCACTGTTTTTAATGTTTGCCCGTTGATAGCATCCATGGGTCTCTGTTTGGGTAGTATCTCCAAGGCAACTTCTTGGTACATCTTAGTCTTTTATTTTAGATGTAAACACAAGAACAACTCTTTCCAATCATGTAAGCTTGTTCTTCAGCCTTTTCTTTCTCTTTAGGACTGTTCTCTTGTCTGGGCAAGCTTTAGAATCTTGCTGGGATTAGTTGCCTGAGAGTTGATATTTGTACATTTTGTTGTGGTGCTAATGGATAATTTCTTTGTAAGTGCCCTATTCACCCCAGGCTGTGAGAATGCCATGGGAATGTCTAGAGCAGCATTTCCACAACCTTCCTGCTTCTGGACTCATCAAGGAGAGGCCAAGTTCAATTCAGCAAGTGTGTATTGGTCACCCACTTTGTGCCAGGCAAACATGAATGTCATTTAATCAGTGCACTGTGATACATGCACTAACGGAAGGTATCAGAGAAGGGTTCTCTTGAATAGGGTTCCAAAGATAAATAGTTCATTGGGTAGGCCAAGTGTAGAGAGGCATTCCAGGCAGGGGGTAGCAAAGTGCACAGGCAAGGACACAAATGACTGCATTATTCATGCCTAAAGAGAAGAGCAAGGGAAGTTTGTGTCTGGTTGAAATGCATAGGTTTAGCTGTGGAGCAAAGGGGCAGGAGACTGGGGAACCAGCAAGGCCAGCTCATAGAGGGATTTGGGGCCATGCTAAGTGTAATGCTACTGAGTGAAGAAGCTAGCCTGGTATTTTAGGAGAGTCAGCGAGGGTATTGTGTAGGGAATAGAATGGAAGAGGTGGGAACATTACATCCTGACTGTTGAGATTTTATTGGACTGCATGTATAGAACACCCAAACAATAGTTCAGCTCACTCAGATACAACTGGTACATAGAAAAATAAATGATGTCAGAATGATGTAGAATTATGTTTGTGCACGTAGTCTTTCCTAAGCAAGACAAGCCGGAATAGCAAGAGAAGAAAATGAAAAGCCCTCAGCCTAGCTGCTGCATAGGCAGGAGCCCTGTCAGCTCTCTTTTAATAAAATTTGAAGGGCATGACCCCAGGGGCTCTCTCCTCAGAGAGTTGCACACCTGGCCTTGCACAGCCCTCAGCCAGTGGCAGATCACAGTCCTTCCTAAGTGCTGGTCTCTCACCTGTTGTCTCAGTTACTGCCGGCGTTTCCAGTTGGCATTTCTGTGCATTTTTAATAACCACTGAGTTGCTTC